CCTGCTGAATCGTGACGTCACACGCTATAAGCCAATCACACTTTCTTTTCGCTCCTCTGTTTTTTAATAATTTTTAATAATTTTTTGGCCGTAAATGAGTATTGCTAATATTGATAAATGGATCTTATGAACAATGCAGATAATTTAAATCTATAAATATAATTTTTTTATGACTAAATATTCACTATTTTATTAAAATAAGTTAGGTTAGGTCGGTGACAGCTGTTGTTGACAGTTGATTTAAAATTTACATAAACCGATGTGAAATGGCAGAAAATTTGCAGAAACGAGTAATGGCAGAGAAAAAAAGAAATTACAAGTGGTGTTTTGTGCCTTCATGCACTCAAAACAATATCTGTTCTCCATCAACAATTTTCCTGTCAGTGCCAAAAGGAGAGATTCGAAGAAAATGGTTCGAAATCTCAGGCCGAACTGATGCTTCAACTATATCGCTGACTAGTAGTTTGTTTTGTTGTGAACACCATTTCAATGTAAGTCATATACCTAAAATATAATAAATTAATCCTAAATAATTCAAAATAAATTGATTTTATGTTTGCAGTTAGAGGAGGATGTTGAAAATTACATGCAAGTCAGGTTCATTCCAAACGTACTCATTCGCTTAAAGAATGGAGTTATGCCGACAAAATTTGCTTGCCAGCCTCATCGAGAAACATCAGATGCAAGCAACATTAATGTTATTAATATTGGTATCATTCAAATAAAAATTAATATTATCGAATTACATTATATGTGAATATAATAAATAATGTAATACTTACAGATCGTCAGTAATACTTACAGCTGCACAGTCTTCGCATCGAACATATTCGACCTTGTCTATCTCTTCGTTAACAAGCATCGATACAGAGTAAGGTTTATTATTTACTCTATGTTCAGGACATATTTTCCCTCGGACTTGGCAGAAATTACCTTCACGTTTTACTTCAACGTATCCCACAGCTGCATCACCATAATCTTTATCTTCAGCCCTGTAAAATACAGATATTGATTGTGGAACTATATTAAACTTTTATATATATTGAATGTATGTAAAGTGTGTAAACACCTTTTAGCTTTAACACCTCTTGTCTCTGCCACGTTAAAAAATTCATTTTCACTAAAAAAGTCAGCAACCATTAAAACGTTTAATTTTGGTAAATTATCCGATTGAGCTTTAACAAAACCTGTAATATTTCTCGCCATGTTGTAACGGATTACTTAGGGTGCGTTCCGTTTCTTATCCTTGTTTAACATTCGGTGAATAACAAGGATAAAAGATGCATTATGCGCATCATGCAAGAAACGGAACGCACCCTTAGTAATTCGCATGATCCGTTAAATATCACATTTGTTTTGTTTATATATCTTATGTATGTGTCATTTACATGAAGTATGTATTTACAACGTTTAAACTTACCGGGCTCTGCTGAATCGTGACGTCACGGCCAATCATATTGCGTTCACTCCCCACTCATTTTTTAAGCACTTTTAATCGTTTTTAATAAAAAATCCTATTATTAATATCACTTTAAATTACTTTTAAGTTAATAAAAAGCGTATAAAGTAATTAATTATAATTTTTTTACACATTTCAATTTTTACAAATAAGACCCTATCTTCAATCTCAATCTTCAATGCGTAGTCTGATTCCGGCCTCAGTAGTACAAAAAGCCGAAATTGTCGACTACCAGTGCGAGTTCTGATTGGCTGCTGCTTTTCCGCTTTCTGTTTTTGCGTCAAGGTGTGAACTTGCCCTAACAGTTGAATCTGCTGAACGCGACCATGGTATAAAGACAAGGGTATGCACTTGCGCATCGTAACACCAAACAACCAATGAGAATTGCAGCCAAATACGTCATCATTACGCGGCAAATTCAAATGGTTAAAAATGAAGTAAATCATGGTAGCATCAATACATTAAGATAAGTGAAAGGATTTTATGAGAATGATGAGTGATAAGTATAAATTTGTGATGTTTTCATTAAATGATAAATTTGTCACAATTCTTTATAACATTGTATTCAACAATACTAATGATTTTTATCATAATCCACATTTACTTCATTCCTACATACTTCACGCCACTTTGCAGCAATTTTTTCGTCTTTTGGAAATTTAAAAAATCGTTTTCCCTTTCATTTTTCGGTAACTATTTTTGCACCCTTTCACTGCACAAGCACTCATTGCAGTCAAAATTTTTATTCAAACAATAAGTATATATAATAACTGTTTTCGCGAGAAAACAGAATTTCCACAACGTCACGCGTAGCCATATTTTAGTCAAGATGAGCATATTGTCTTTATACCATGAACGCGACCACATTCCATTACGTGTATACGATCACTAACGAAATATTGGTTCTAGTCCGTACTGAATTTTTTTCGTAAACGTGAAAAAAAACTTCCTACATATATTTATAAATTAATTAAGAATCACAACTATGATTCAATTGAAAGGCTCAGAAATGTTGACGAGAGCATTCATAATCGTTCGTCGGCAAGCATTGCTAAAATCAAACATGATTTCGCAGGTAAAATACTTTTGCGGCTTTTTAGAGGTTAGGTTAGGAGGTTATTACCAGGTTATTACCTGTATTATTATACTGTATTTAAATAATCTTAAGATATTACTTAAAACAGTCATAAAATAAGAACAAATTATGAATATTGTCCAAAGATTGAAGATTGAATATACAAAAAAAATTGTCATAAATAAGTACAAAATATAAAAAGTAACGATAAAAGTAACTGTAAAATTCGTTACCAAAAGAATGTAACTACATTAGAAAAAAGTTATTAGAAAAAAGGCAACGCCATTACCAATCTATTATAAAAAAAAGTAACTTGTTATAACAGCGTTATAACTAATGTTACTTTTATTTCCTATACTTCTATTTACTGTACTATATACTAATGCACATTGTATCTTATAATAATCTGTATATTTTGTTTAGAAGATAATACTACAAAATACTTGTACTTAAAGAAGATTTTTTTTAGGAAATTGTTGCACATAGACATATCCATTTAGTTACTCAGGGAAAAAGGATTCTTAGAAACAATTCTTTATTGGATCTGCATAGAAACTATAGAATTACAGGTATATCTTTGGTTCGTTATGCTAGTACAAATGAAACCACAAAAAATGAAACTCCAGCAAGTGAAATTATGACAAATGAAACTCCAACAATTGAAACTATAACAAATGAAACATCCCTGCAAAATAGTCCATATGATGAAATACCAGGTTTGTATAGATGCATCCTTTAAAATTATTTTTTAGAAATATACTACCTTTTTATAAATATACTACTATGATAAATATTGAGAAAAAAAACATCTAGTTGCTATATGTTAATTTACATATATATATTAATTTATATATTATTAACAATGAATTATTATATAAATATACTTTCTGTTATCTTTCAAATTTTCTTATTGTAATTACAATATGAGAAATAAAAATTATAGAAATTATTTTAAATTTATTTATTAATCTGCAGTTTATGTGTATAGATCCACCAACACCAATACAAGAAATAATAGAAAATATTGTGAAAGTGCATCCGAATGGAGAGCCAACGTTTGAGAGTCTAGGATTGGGTGGTTGGAGTCCAACAGGAATTTTACACAATCTCTTAGAATTTATGCACATAAATTTAGATATGCCATGGTGGTTGGCAATTGTTACAGGTACTGTTTTTTGTATCATAAGATAATTATTGATTTAATAAAAATTCTAAAATTATTAACACATCTAATTATTTTGCTACAGTTACTATTTGTGCAAGGACTCTTCTATTTCCTTTAGTAATAAAAATGCGAAAGAATATGATTCGACTTACAAATCATATGCCAGCAATAAAAGACATGCAAATGAAATTGACGGAAGCCAGAAATTTCGGCGATCATATGGAAAGTATGTTAGAAACATTTTGTATTGACGAAATTTTGTTTTGATAAAAAAGCTACATTAATTGCTTTCTTCCGAATAGGTGCACGAATAGCGACAGAGATGATGAATTACATGAAAACGAATAAAATTAATTTTAAACAAAACTTTTTAATGCCAATGATACAGGTATGCAATACTTCTACGCATTCATACATGCAAAAAAAAGTGTAAAAAAAGATAATTTCCTGATTATAATTCTGATGTGTTTCAGGCACCAGTGTTCATCTCCTTCTTTTTCGCATTGAGAAAAATGGCAAACTTGCCTGTGGAGAGCTTAAAAGACGGCGGCTTTTTGTGGCTAAAGGATCTTACAGTATATGATCCTTATTATGTAATGCCGATAATTACCAGTGTAACAATGTTAATCACACTCGAACTTGGCACGGATGGCACTAATATCTATGCGTTGGGTATAATGCGATATGCTTTGCGAGCTTTGCCATTCGTCGCATTACCGTTTATGTTGCATTTCCCTGGTGTAAGTATAATAATATCAATATTTCTGTTATGGTTGATATGAGAAGAATTAATGTGGACATTTGTATATCATGAAATATTTAATTTAAATACAAACAATAACCTTCATATTTAATATACTCTTTCTCTGAATTTTCTTCATCCCATTTCTCTATATTTGTAGGCTATTTTGATATATTGGGTAGCAACAAACACTATCTCTATGGTACAAGCTGGTTTTCTAAAAATCCCACGTATAAAAAAAGCTGTCGGTATGCCTACCTTAATAAAACACGATATTTCAAAAGCATCCATCAAAGGAAGCAGCAAAGGTTTCATTAATGAAATGAAAGAATGTGAGTATTGTTTAATGTATATATGTATCATGTATATGAAACATCACAATATATTGGAAAATAATACTTTGGGAAAGCTGTTAATATAACCTATACACACAACGTGTATATATATATATAACATATACATTGATAATGTTCAACTTTATATAGCAAAAATAATAGACAAATATAAATATAAGTATCACTCTTATGTATTTTATAAAAGTATGATACCTTAAAAATCTGCATTATATCCGCATTTTAGCTTGGACAAACATGAAGATAACAAAGCAGCTATCTGATAGAGAACGGGCAGATGCAGTACAGTTTAATAGCGCGGGTAAGGGTCCTATAGTGAAGACATTTAAATATGATCCGACGAAGCAAAAACAATCGACAACAGTCTTTACAAAAAGTAGAGAATAATTTTATTTAGAATTACTGTATATTCAGTTATTTACACAATGTGTAACACAAACAAAATTGTAATTATAACTGTAATAAAGCAAATATTATTTAACATAAAATCCATTTTTATAATATTAATTTTGTTAAACATAGATATACAAATGATAGATGATAGAAAAATTCACAAGTGATTAAATAAAAAACAGAATTCATTAATTTAAAAATTAAAAATATACAAGAAGAAGCTCCTTGATTCAATATCTTTGTAAAAGTTTATTTTTTATTTAGAAATATTTTCTCTTGTGTGTGTGTGTGTGTGTGTGTGACTTTCGACACTCTGCTGCGTAACAAAGACACTTTGTGTTTTTGCCGTAAGATTTGCCTGCTAAAAAAATTAATATTTTTATTATATTTCATTCAATATATATTTCTATGATTTTCTTAACTTTTTGAATCACCGACGAAATATTAGATTTGTTTGCGTCGCATGCTCCAACATGTTCCAACATGCTTCTACTATAGCTCCTACTCACTTCGACGAGCGCTTGAGAATTATGATAAGAGCATGTTTGAGCTTACAACACGAAAAACCTATTATTAACGACAATCTCCAAAATACTTGCTATAAACCAAATTTCTGGGAATTTGTATATAAGAAAAAATGTTTGCTTTAAAGTGTTAAACCAATATATACACATTTTCAAATAATAAATAAATTTCGTTATTTGAGCCGAGTTAAATGTTTTTGTTTATAAAAATGTATTAGTATTAAACAAAGTCAAAAGCATTGTTGTAATTAATGAAAATGGAGAAAGTTATCCATTATACTTGAGTTCCTACAGTAAATCGGTCAACTTAAGGATTGAGTAAGTTAAACATAGAATAGTATAATGGAAGTTTGATTTTGAAGTTTTTTTTTCTCAATTTAACCATTCTTGTTTTAAAAAAGTCGCTCACTAATTGCATATCATATTTATGAGCAAAATTATAAGGATAATTAAATGCGTAATTCGAGTACATGAAACTGAATAGCATGTATGTTA